TAAAACCCCTTAAATCCCTAAGGGTTTTACTGTGTCCTTTTTTAAAAAAAATTTTTTTAACGGGACTAGGAGTTAGAAAGAAAAAAAAACCTAATGAAAAAAACCCCCGTTCCTTGGAAACTTAAGAAGGGGCAAAAAATCCCCTTCCCCCCCCCCCCCCCCCCCCCCTCCATGTAAAGGAATGCAAGACAGTTTTGGATTCTGGATCCTACGACGTGAATACCGGATCCCAAGTACTAGATCCCGGATTTTTGGCAGTGGAACTTGGATTCCGAATATTGCAGTCGTTAGGGATTCCGGATTCCTTGGGATGTATGGGGATTCCAAATCCTAGAATTCCGGATTCCACTAGCACAAATTTCGCGGATTCTACTTTCTCTTACACAGGCGACTTCCCGACTTCTCAGTCAATCAAGATAAGGCAACGAAAACTACCCTATTCTCAGGTTAACCTTAGCCCTTTTCCTCTCTTGTTTGGTTACTATGTGCCCACACCTAAGTCACCATTATAAGTTTTTGGATTACAAGCAATGGATTTCGGACGCTTGTCAGAGGAAACTGGATTGCAGATTCCAATCGTTAGCAGGATTGCAGATTCCTCGGGCAAAGATTTGCTGGATTCTGTATTCCACGCAAGCAAAAATCTGCTGAGTGAATCCGGATCCCACAGGAAAAATTTTGCCGGGTAACGGAATCCGAGTTACCTTAAATCGCACAAGGGCTTCAGGACAAATTTACTGAAAAAAAAAATGTTCAACTCTCACTCATCAGATTCTGACCTAAACTGTCTCCCTCCAACAATAGGATGAAGCTTCCATGCAACTTAATAGTGACACACGAAGCTACATTGAGAAGCTTGGAAGCAGTTATATCAGCCTGGTGGGATGGAGAGATATGTGGGCATTTATATTTCAACGGAACGGGAGAGAGAAGAAACCATTCGCCGAAAGTCATCGAAAATCCCCAGAGTTCAACATCTGGGCGAACGATGTTTTAATCCGAACTTCATTAAAACGCCAGTGGGATTTATATAGTCACTGTTTGTGGGAGGAGAACGCCAGTACTTCAAGGAGAAGAGAATTTTGCGACAAACTGGACGGATACGAAGGAGTGTG